GCTCATTAAATTATTCATTTATTCATTTGCCAACTATGGATTTAGCAGTTGTTAGGCATGAGGCACCATGATAGGCTTTGGGGATACACTGGCCAAGAAAATAGGCATGAATTTTACAGTCTAGTGGACAAGAAACGATGTAAGACAGATAATAAACAAAAAGCAGGTAAATACATATGCAATTTCAGGTGGGGCCTAAGTGCTACGACATGAGAGAGAGAAAGACGAGGATATGGAGTGAGAAAATTGCAGGGCAAGCCCTCTCTGAAGAGATGGTGCTTCAAGCCAAGTCCATAGGGCTGAGAAGGAGCCTGGTATCTGAAGGGCAGGAGTAAGAGCATTTTAGGCAAAAAGAATGACATTTGCAGGGGCCAGAAGTGAGCCCTCTGGACTGGAAGGGACAAAACGAAAGGGTGGAGAAGCGGGGGTGAGGGAAGGAAGCGTGACAGTGGGATCTCTCTCCCCACCATCTTCAGCTGAACTCCACGCAGGACTTAAGTCAATGGTTCACAAACCCACCTGCCCATTTGAAGCACCGTGGTGATCTTCTAAAACTTCCAAAGCTGTTGTGACCCTATAAATCAGTCAAATTGTAAACTCCAGGAGAACACAGGCTTCAGGATTTTTTGATGCTTCCAAATGACTCCAAAGTGCAGACAGTTTGGGAACCACTGACTTAAGTCAATTTTAGTGCCTACATTCTTGTTTTGCTCATCTATAAAATGACAAGGTTCACCTTAATGAAATCAGGTCTCTTTCTTGCTCTAAATTAGGTGATCCCTATGAGCAGATCCAGGGTCATTTTTACCTATCGTCTTCCTCAAATCTTTCCCACCCTCACTTTTATCCTGGGACCCCCACATCCTTCCAGCTTGAAATCCTGGAATCATAGATTCTTCTCTTTATGCTGTTCCTATAAGTGAAGCAGGTGCTGTTGGTCCAGAGCATCCAGGCCTTCCATGAATCCCTCTTCCCTTACCTGGATAACCACACACTACAGT